CAAACTCATGGGTGTCTACTGCAGCACATAGTCTGCAGGTTTGAGATGCCACGAGGAATCACGCCTGGATGATATCGTTTTCCTATTTTTTTGTTTCATACTTCTTGAACCTTCCTTAACCTTCACTGCCTCTATATTTCTTAAGAACATAACCCACTGATTTTTTTTTTTCAGAATGTTTTCCAGGTAAATGTCAGCTTCTGTAGCACACCACGCCCGTCTCCGCTCCATGCGCTACCACACAGTTCGTGAACCGGGCAAGGGGCTGCAGATTGAAACACACAAAGACACACAGACAGAGACACGGGTCATCCTTGATGCCAGAATGCTCCAAGAATGCTCCCCCCTTAGTGTGTCCAGGGGCAGCTTATATAGGGATAGCCATGCCCCCGCCAAATGCACCAGAAACCACTCTCCTGCCATCAGGAACTCCTGAGGATCTCATGTTCAGACCAGCAGCAAGCTGTCTCAGAGCAAAGGAAAACAAGTTGTTTAAAAGAAACTGAGGATCTGGGGGTTCACAGCTGCCAACAGGCTTCCGCACCATATGGTGTCTAGTGGTGTGACAACCTTGTCAATGCACCACACCGGCTCCTTTACCTTCAGTTCTTCTCAGTAGCACAGTGCTGCTACTTTGACGTCTTCTTTACTTCATCATTTGTGCCCCCATTCACCTTTCCATTCTAATTAACCATTTATTCCGGTGCCTTCTAGAAATGATCAAATTTAGACTTCCTGGGCCATTCACACGGACTTTCCTAGAGTTTCACCTCCCATCTCAGTCTCCCAAGTTCCCTTTTAGCTTTGCCAAAATGGAGTTCCTGAAGTTCAAACTCTCTTAAGACTCTCCTCACCCTTTAGTGATTCTGAGCTTCAGTTCCCCTGGTTGTTTCCAGCACCTCATATGCTACACTTTCCTCACGACAGCCTGTGTAGCAGGGTCAGTTAAGCATGGGCATTTGCCGTTATTACAATACCTCACACACAATATATTAACATATTAGACACAGAAATGATATGGATAATAAATTCAGAATTTCTTAAATGCTTGAAAAAAAAACCCTTCCCTTGTCGGTTCACTGCAAGTAACTTAAGAAAAAGGCAGTCAGCAAAGCCACCATTCTGTCAAGCAGCCTTTGAAAAGACGACTTCGCAGGGGCACTGCTGAGCACGTCTTGCTCAGGCTTTCTCCTTTCCACCAGCTGAGAGGCGGCCTCTCTCCACATAGATCCTTCTCTTCCGCCAGTCAAATTACTCCTCCTGCTGCACATGCGCATTCATCCTCCTGCACATGCGCATTCATGTCTTGATCTTAACACACAATGCATCCATTTGCTCGACTGTGATGCAACCATGTCTACTGTACTGCCTCCTTCTACTATAACAAAATGTCATAGACTAGAGGACTTATAAAATATGGAAATAAATTTGGTTCTTACAGTCCTGGAGTTGAAAGCGCAAAATCAAGGTGTCAGAAGACTCCAGGGTTGCTAAAGGTCCACTTCTTCATTGGCAGTCAACGTTCCCACTCAGTGACAGATGACCTTTTCGGTCTCCTTCGTAAGAATGACAAAGGCTTCACCCCCATAACCTCATACTCCTCTGGAAGAGACAATGCCAGCACAAGAATTAGGGAGGATATCTGCACTCTGGCAATGTTCCATGATGATTCATTGATCGCGTATCTGCTTCTTTCTCCACATGCTAAGTTCTTGAGCTCATGAACTTGTACATCTTATAAGTGGTATCACAGTTCTTAAAACTCTGTGAGCCCTGATGGTTAAGGAAAAGAACAAGCACAGACCAGGTATTTTCTCCCTGCCTTTAGCGGGCTGTTGGATGAGATCGTTGACATTAGATACACCTGGTGATGACGCCACACTATTGACTCTGATGGGAATTTCTACTAAAGTCAACATTACAATGGCCTGAAAATAGATTGCTTCTCATGTCTCTTTTCACTTACCACTTGGATATTTTGAAATGTTTGTTACAAGTGAGAAGAGGGAAAGAACTTGACTTTTTCTTTTGAATAATAACCCAAACCAGTAGGCATCATATATATTTCCTTCTCAGGAGCCTAATAGGATTCACAAATTGAGAGGGCATGTTCGCTGGGTGTGGTGAAGCACACTTTTAATCCCAATACTCAGGAGGCAGAGACAGGTGGGTCACAATGAATTTGAGGCAAGCCTGGTCTATGGAGCAAGTTTCAGAACAACCAGGACTACACACAGAAATCCTGTCATGAAAAACAAAGAAATCAACAAAAAACAAAAAAGAACAAAACAAAAAGGCATGTTCATATTATTGCTTGGAAAAGAGGGAACAATTTGTGGCCTATGTAGGGATTCTCTATAATTTGGTAGAATATGTGAGTTTGTTGCATTTATCTTTTCTGCTTTCTTATTCATTCAAAATGCCTTCATTATATATTTTTAAATTTTCAGGTATGTTAGTATTCATGACATTAAAAAGGGAAAATGACAACATCTGAAAAGCACAATGTATCTGTTTCCTCTGAAATAAAATTTCAAATGTGACAACTACTCGTGGTTGACTGTGTATGTGCATGCTGTCGATCAGCAAACCTGTATTTTCATCTTTGGGTAAACCTGCAAAGAACACAGCACGTCCGTCTGTGGCTTTAATAAACAGCCCTTATCTTGTAAGGGTATTAGCCTTCTACAGTTGAGGTTGCGACTCATTTGACCTTTAGGTTTGTTCAAGAGAATTAGCCAGAAGTTTTGTCTGTGGTACCTGTGTGCTCTCGTGGCAGGTCTTTCCACTTTAACTCCCCCCTGAACCATTCCTGTCGCCTCTGTCAGAAAGCTAGGTCATTTAAAGGGGTCAAATATTGTCTGTTTCCTAATCAATAACTTCAGAGCATTAGCTTAGCAGCTCAGTTTCTGTCTCCATCTCCAGACAATGTTTGAGGAAGGAACTTATTCTTGAAAGTATCTTTGAGACCAACTGTTGAGCTAAACTTTAGATTTGTCTTCTATTTAAATGCATCCCATATAGATTATGGTGCAGGACTAGGGGCTATCATTCAATCTCCGCATCAACTGTGATTCATAAGAATACCCCTTTTACTGGCTGCCAACAACTCAAGAGCTTGACATACCAAGGTCTGAGGGATTACAGTAAAGTGAGCTTGGACCTGGTAGGAATACAGTGTGCATTCCAGGTTGGCAAAAAAAAAAAAAAAAGAAAGAAAGAAACAAAAAACAACAAAAAAACCCCACAGTTCAGTTTAAAGTTGTAAGGAAGGGAGCAGCTATTGTTACCAAAGAGCAGTTTGGTGCTTGATAAATGTGTGATAAAAGCATCCCTAAATGTAACCCTAGGGTGTGTGTGTGTGTGTGTGTGTGTGTGTGAGCATGCACATGCATGCATATGTATTTGTCTGTCTGTCTCTTTCCTTCCCATCCTCTTTCTTTCATTTTTCTCCCTTTCTCTTTCTCCAAAATTTGAGGCATTGTCACTGTCCTGAAACCTCTTACCCATTGTCAAATGGCAAACCAGTTAAATTCTCTGTGGCCCCATAGTACTGATCCAACACTCCAATCACCGCTGGATTTAGGATGCTGAAGTATGTTGTGGCTTGAATCAGCATTACCATACAAGGCCGCTTTGAACTCCTCATGGTAACCTTTTATTACTGTTTCTAAGTCTCCAAGCACTGCCAAACATCTTGAACTTTGTGGAATGAGTATAAACTTTATAAAGATAAACCTTTGATTCCACTTCAAAATTCTGCTACAGGATGCCAAAATTATAATAAAATTGCATATATTTCAAAATCAAAGACCTATAAAACCATTTGGATCATTGAGTCCTAGAAAAATACGGTGGTGTCACTGGGCAATTGATAAATGGACAACCCTGCCACAGTTGTGCTGACTTTCAGAGAAAAAAAATGGAAACCCTCAGAAGCTGCTTAGACTGTAGAGCTAGCCTGCAGTCTAGGCTGGCTGCTTGAAGATTCCTCGGATATTTAGAAAACTTCCCCTTTGCAATCTCAAACATTTGTTAGAAACACTTCATAATGCAAGTGTTTTCCTTGGCACCTCAGCAGAGAGCTTCTTGCTTTCAGCCCACAATGAGAGGGGTTTTGCTAGGAATGCAAAGACTTTTCTGTCTGTAGCAAGCTGCACTGCTGCTGCCGGCCTCCCCACAGGAATGAATCCACAGTGCAGCAAGTCCTTCCAGGCGTGTGCCCTTCCCTGTGAAGGCTGGTTAGAAGGTCTTGGTAGAGGATGTTGGTGAGAGGGCAAAAAGGCAAAACCCGTCACTGTCATGTGGTGTCGACACAATCATCTGCTGCAGTGTCTATGGAAGGGAAGAAGGTAGAAATGGATGCTCAGCAGGCCATTGTGGCAGGGTGAAGAGGGTTCAGCCTTGGGTACTGAACCCTTGCTAGGATCCCAATTCTAGCCATTTAGTTTGCAGGCAGGGCTGTGGCCAAATGCTATCATCCCTTCATCGTCAGATACTTTCTTGTTAAAGGATGTGAGAAGAGGACTTCTTATGAGAATTACATGATCACCTCAAAGAATAGAACTTCTGCTCAAAAGAACAGTAAGACAGTTTCAGAAAGGAAAGAAAGACTTAAAGTGAGCTTTGTTTATGAAAAGTTTCAGTCAAATTTGCTTTTGCGGGATACACCATACTCCAAATCTCACAGACACCACAACACATGCATACACACACACACACACACACACACACACACTCACACATACACTTGTTTACACACTAGCACAAGCACATATACAAATATATGCACCCAAGCACATGTACACACACGTGTGCATACAGACAGGCATACACATACATGATCACACACACACACATGTATAGATACATATACACAAGTACAGACACATACAACTACCTGTACCCATGTACATATACATGGACAAGCATGCACCCAAGCACAGACAACAGTCATTTCAATGTTATTCACTCACCTTTTGTCAAAATCTTTAAGCCTTGTGCTCACTTTGGCAGCACATATACTAAGATTGGAATGTCACAAGGAAGATTAGCACAGCCCCTGGGCAAGGATGACACACAAATTCATAAAGTTTCATATTTTTAAAATCTAAAGAAATGGACAATAGATACCACTTACCAATGTTAAATCAAGACCAGATAAATAATTTTAATAGACCATAATCCTCAAGGAAATAGAAACAGTCATTAAAAATCTCCCAACAACAACAACAACAACAACAAAGGCCTGAGTACAGATGGTTTTAGTTCAGAATTCTACCATACTTTCAAAGAAGAGCTAATACCAATACTCCTCAAATTATTCCACAAAATAGAAACAGAGGAACATTGTCAAATTCTTTTTATGAGGCCACAGTTAACACTGCTACCCACACTACACAAAGACACAATAAAGACAACAAAGAAAGAGAATTACAGGCCAATTTCCCTCATAAACATTGATGCAAAAATAATTAATAAAATATTGGTAAACCAAATTCAAAAATGCATAAAAAAATAATCATTCACCATGCTCAAGTGGGCTTAATCCCAGAAATGCAGAGATGATTCATTTTGAAAGATTATGTTAATGTAATCCACCATATAAACAAACTGAAAGATTAAAAAAAAACCATGATCATCTCTTTAGATGCTGAGAAAGCCTTTGACAAAATCCAGCACTACTTCAAGATAAAAGTCTTGCAGAGATCAGGGATACAAGGGACATACCAAACATAATAAAAGCAATTTATAGCAAACTAACAGCTTACATCAAATTATATGGAGAGAAATATAAAGCAAGTCCATAAAAATCAGGAACAAGACAAGACTGTCCTCTTTCTCTGTATCTGTTCAATATAGTTCTTGATGTTTTAGCTAGAGCAGTAAGACAGTTAAAAGATCATAGGGGATATGAATTGGAAAGGAAGAAGTCAAAGTATTGATATTTGCAGATAATATGATAACATATATGTGATCCCAGAATTTCGATCAGAGAACTCCTGTAGTTGATAGACACCTTCAGCAAAGTAGCGGGGTACAAAATTAACTTTAGAAAACCAGTATCCCTTCGATATACAAATGATAAAGAGACTGAGAAAGAAATCAGGGAATCAAGTAACACACAATATAAAATATCTTGCTGTAACCCTAACCAAGCAAATGAAAGATCTGAATGACAAGAGCTTGAAGTCTTGACAAGAAAGGGTTATGGCTTAATAGTGGTGTGTTTTTTGTCAAATGTGCAAGGGCTCAGTTGTGCTGACTGATTTTGTGTGTCAATTTGACACAAGCTACAGCCATCAGAGAGGATAGAGCCTCAGTTGAGAAAATGTCTCCATGAGATCCAACTCTAAGGTATTTTCTCAACTAGTGATCAATGGGGGAAATTGGAGAAGATATCAGAAGTTGGAAAGATCTCCCATGCTCATGGATCGGTAGGATTAATACAGTAAAATGACAATCTTACCAAAATCAATCTACAGATTCAATTCTGTTGTTCACTTTTTTTTTCTTTTACTCTTATACTCTTTGGGGAGGGGCATTACCACCCAGCTCCCAAATAATCACATGGAGGTTTATTCTTACTTATGAATGCCTGGCCTTAGCTTGGCTTATTTCTAGCCAATTTTTCCTAACTTAAGTTATCCTACCTGCCTTTTGTTTTGGGGTTTTTATTTTTATCTATTCTATATGCTTATCTTTACTTCTTACTTTACTGTGTAGCTGGGTAACTGACTGTGAGTCTTGATCATCTCAGGCAGCAGTCTTGAATCTTTTCTGAATGTAGAACTCAGACATCTAGGCCATCTGTTCCTACTGGAGATTTCTCAGGTGGTCTTCCTTGATTGAACCTGATTTTTCTTAATTCATAATGCAGCCACAGCCCATTTCCTGTGGAAACAAAAGCAAAATCTCTTCTCCAAAGTAACATACCTTTTGATTTCAATTTTGAAGCCAAGGCATTTTCAAAATACCTATCTTGGTAGTTCAGCAGCATTTGTAAACAAAAGTCTTTTAGCAGCTGTTGTTCCTTCCTCAGCATTCAAACAATTCAAAAAGAGCATAATAGCATACAGTATCAAGATTCTTTATGTATGTTCCATCTTTATGTGACTTTATTTTAACCTCTATTTCTTTTATTTTTACTTTTACTGTTTGAGACAGGTTCTCTGTATATCTTTGGCTGTCCTGGAATTCCCTCTGTAGACCAGGCTGTTCTTTAATTCACAGAGATCCTCATGTCTCTGCCTCCCAAGTGCTGGGATTAAAAGAGTGTGCTACCACACCCAACTACTCTCTTTCTTTCCTTTTTATTTTAAGGAATTTAACCTTTTTTCTTCAAGCCTGCATATATTTTTAACACAGTGTAAACCATTTAGAGGTTTTCTTTGTCTTTGAATCTTTCTTTTACTGTATATCTCTCTTTTTGTGACCATGTGAGTCTTTAATTTACCAAGCAATATGGGTAGGATTAAAGCTGTGGCTGACAGCTAGATCCAGCCCATTCCTTAGCTTTCTGCGATTCCAGTCTCATGGCAGAGGTACCGGCTGTAGCCATGTTTATTGCCACAACTCTATGGTGTTTCAAGGTCCCTGCCAGCAAGCAAGCTGCAGCATTCTGCTCACAGACCACACACAAATGCTTCGTAGTCAGACTGCCTGCCTGAAAGAGTCAGAGCTGATGCAGAGGCCATGGTGGGGTGTTGCTTATTGGCTTGCTTCCCAAGGCTTGCTCAGCCTGCTTTCTTATAAAACCCAGGACCACCATCCCAGAGATGGCACCAGCTACCCATGGCTGGGCTTTCCCCCATTGATCACTAGTTGAGAAAATACCTTAGAGTTGGATCTCATGGAGGCATTTTCTCAACTGAGGCTCTATCCTCTCTGATGGCTGTAGCTTGTGTCAAGTTGACACACAAAATCAGTCAGCACAACTGAGCCCTTGCAAATTTGACATAAAACACACCACTATTAAGCTATAACCCTTTCTTTATTATTCATCCCTAAGATCTTCAATACCCTTAAAGGTACCACAGTCTTTACAAATTCAAACATATTAAAATTTCAGTCCCTTTAAAATAGCCAATTTCTTTAAAAACCCAATGACTTTTTTATTGATTTTTATTGAGAACTACATTTTTCTCTGCTCCCTCCCCTGCTTCTCCCCTCCCCTCAATCCTCCCTCAAGATCCCCATGCTCCCAATTTACTCAGGAGATCTTGTCTTTTTCTACTTCCTATGTAGATTAGATCCATGTATGTCTCTCTTAGGGTTCTCATTGTTGGCAAAGTTCTCTGGGATTGTGATTTGTGGGCTGGTTTTCTTTGTTTTATGTTTAAAAACTACTTATGAGTGAGTACATGTGATAACTGTCTTTCTGTGTCTGGGTTACTTCCTAAAGACTTAAAATTCAAGTTTCTCAGCTGTAGGCTTTAGTAAAATATTTTCTTATTTCAGAGGGAAAAATCAGGGCACAGTCACAATGATATCAAATCAAAACAAAATTTCAACTGTCCAATGTTTGGGATTCACTCATGATCTTCTGAACACCTCCCAAGGACGCGGGTCCTTTCTCTGGTTCTGCCTTCTGCAACACACACAGCTTGTCTTCTAAGCCCAGGCCCACTCCACGCCACTGCTGCTGGTGTTCTTGGTTGCCATCCTATGGTACTGGCATCTCCAAAACACCGGGGTCTTCTGCGGCGACTGGGCTGTGCTTTCACCAGTAACCTCTCTAGGACTCTCTTCAGGGTGCCAAGCATTAATTTCTTTTCATGACCCCTTCAGTCCTGGGCCTTCAACTGCTTTTGAGGTTGCACCTTCACCGATGGCCTTTCCTGGCTTCCCACAGTGCCAGACCTCAGCTGCTCTCCATCAACTTTTCATGTCTTTAAATGAAATACCACCTGGGTGACTCTTACACATTAAATAGCAACTCTGACTGCTAGTACAAGGTATAACCTTGGTCATCTCTGGAACACAGCTTCTCTGTGTTCTCAGCAAATATGTCCCAGAAGATTTCACTTCAGTAGTGCTGCTCTCTCTCTCTCTCTCTCTCTCTCTCTCTCTCTCTCTCTCTCTCTCTTTTAAGACAGGGTTTCTCTGTAGATTTGGATCCTGTCCTGGAACTAGCTCTTGTAGACTAGGCTGGCCTCGAACTCACAGAGATCTGCCTGCCTCTGCCTCCCAGTGCTGGCATTAAAGGCATGGGCCACCACCACCTGGCTGATGCGGGTCTCTTCTTAATCACTACTAATTTCGTAGCTCCAGCTGAGCCCCATTAAGCATTCCATTAGAGCAAAACTTTGCTTTAACAGCTCTGGTATCTTGTCAATCTGTGGTTATCTGATGCTTCAGCCCCAGTTAACCAGAACCATAGAATCATAATTCAAAATAACAAATAGCCCTGATAGAGTCTTTAAACTTCCCTCTGAAACTTCACAAGCCAGGCCTCCATCTTCTGCACTGCTCTCAACATTTTTATCTTCCAAGCTCCCACAGAATATCCCACAGAACTCTTAACACTCAATGGTTCTTCTAGCCCAAAGTTCCAAAGTCCATCGACACTCCTCCCCAAAACATGATCAGATCTGTCACAGCAATACCCCACTATACTGTTAACAATTTCTATCTTAGCTAGGGTTTTTGTTGCTGTGAAGAGACACCATGACCACGGCAACACAAATAAAGGAAAACAATTAATTGGGGTGGCTTACTTAAAGTTCAAAGGTTTAGTCCATTATCACCATGGTGGGACATGGCAGCACGTAGGCAGACATGGTACTGGAGAAGGAATGGAGAGTCCTACATCTTGCAGGCAACAGGAAGTAATCTGAAACACTCGGTATGGCTAGAGCACACATGAGACTTCAAAGCCTGCCTCCACAGTGACACATTTCCTTAGTAAGACCACACCCACTCCAACAAAGATACACCTCCCGATAGTGCCACTCCTTTGGGAGCCATTTTCTTCCAACCTACCTCATTCCTCTCTCTGGCCCTCAAAGACTTGTAACCATATCATAATGCAAAAACTCATTCAATCCAACTTCAAACGTTCCCATAGGCTTTCACAGTCTCATCAAATTTTAAGAATCCAAAG